TTTGTTACTTCAGTGAAAGGGTACAGTGTTACATGTTTACTTCAACATACAGGTTGTTTTTTGAGGAATAAGTGAGGAAAGTGCAAATGTGCATGTTTTTGTTCATATTTAATTATTTATTTTACTTTTTGTTTTATTATGTATTGCACATAATACATTTGGGATAAATGGCCAGTATTTGTCATGTGATTTGCCTTAAGTAACTTAAAAATTGCCAATAAGAAATTATCGGTATCGATGACATTGTAAGAAAAAATCGGTATTGTATCGAATCCTAAAAGTGTGGTGCTGTAGCATTGTGGTGAAAACATCTGGTGCAAAGCAAATTTGCAACAGACAGTGCTTTATTTACAGACATTATTATTTATTCTTATTGTCAGGCTGCGGAGAACTGACTCATTTGGTTTTAGATTACATCACTGATGATCTAAATCATCCAGGAAGAAAGATACCAAGGGAGCACACAAACAGAAACAAGACTAAAAGATTAATTAATGTTCTTTGGAACAAACTTAACTTTTATTAATTAAGTCCAAACATGCTCAGGTTTAACAATTATATGTTACTTGAGGTTAAATTGAGTTTATGCAAGTGTATATGTGGACTACATTTTGAAATTAACTTAAAGTTTGATGTAATACAGTGTCTTTATGAGCAAACGTTCCTTTTAGCTCCATCTGTTGGTCAATATTCTGTTTATCTTCTTTTCATGGTGAGCCACTAAACAGAAGGAAGATCGTGCATTATAGCGTTTTTTTACTCACTTATAAAGACTGAAAAATTTGATAAGTTGATTACTTTGTATTGTTTGGCCTTCGCATTACAGACTTGTTTCTCCTCCAGTGCTTGGTAATGTCTCAGAGTGGAAATTAGCTTGTCACACTTGCTGCTGGGATAAAGAGATAAAAGGAAATAATCGGCAATTCTGGAAATGTAATTTTATTACTCTAATTAAATAATTTGTTTACCCTATTCTTTAGAGACAATATTATTCCTGTAAGACAGTATGCCACAACACTGGATTTCTAATGCATGATTTCATTCTTCAAAGAATTGAATCTGTCTGCAGCTTTGAGAGAGATGGCCTCACATAACTAAACTTAATTAACACAGATCATAAGAACAAACTGGGAAATCAGTTTGAATCTTCTAACCAAAGGCTACATTTTTGTGCATACTAATAGCATAAGAAAATGCTGATAAGGCAAATGTCTTATCAAAGAAAAATGTTCAGGGATTTGAGATAAACCTGTTGATATGAATGGGTGGCAATTTTCAGCGGTTAGGGTGGCAATGTCTTGGTATCTAATTTCATTAGCCAATCAGAAAGAAAGCGATATTAACTATTATTAGTATCACAAAATCCTGTTACCCAAACAGCTGTCAGTCTTTTCATCTCTCCTTCACATATTATGAGCTATCCGCTTTAATTTATTATGAATACTCCCTGAAGACCCCTCAATGCATTTAGATGATTTAATAATTTTACAGTCATATTCTGTGTATGACCTTTAGAACTTAAATTAGGGCTTAGAAGAGTGACTGCTATCCAAAGGGAGATGTCTATCAGTATTCTGTCAGTGTTTTATCAAGTGTAAGGGGACCTTGCTGCATTGCTCCATTTGATAAGGGCAGCATCACTTCCCCGGGGGTGTCATGGAAGTCTCAAGGATTTCTGTCAGAATGTAACATCACTGTGACGACTTCATTCAGTGGTCCAAGAAGAACGATGAGAACAAAATGTGAGGCGTTTGGCTGAGAAGCAGTATTTTAGTTTGTCATCACTTCACAATGTTCCAGACGAACAAAGTGGAACTATTCTCATTAATTTTTTTCGTGTAATGAGAAGGAGAGAAAGTCCTGTGCCCTGCTGGTGCGCCCTGCACCCCATGCACCCCCTGCACACACTAATAGTTCCACACTGAGGTCACGCCTGCTCTGAGGGTCTCTAGGGCTCCTGGATACCCCTGTGACCTGCAGCGAATTGCACTTTTGCAGCAGCACATTGCACCAGAACACTAATTGTCAACTGTGTGTTGATATATCTGTCTATGTGTGTGTGTGGTGTTTGTGTGTTTGTGTGTGTGTTTGTGTGTGTGTGTGTGTGTGTGTGTGTGTGTGTGGTGTATTTTGCGTGTCTGCTGACCTCAAGGGGGTATGTGACCGGTGTTAATATTCATTTGCTGCACCCCTCACTTAGCCACATTCACTGCTCAGTTTAGCTGTGAGCACAGTGCTACTTCTGTGAACGAGTTTAATTTTTAGAGGCAATGTATTATTAAAATCTGTGCATGTTGTACAGATTGTCTGACTACAAACCAGATAGACCCTGAGAGAGAGTTTTAATGTACTGCTGCTAAATATAACAATGAGTGTAACTTGTTCTACTTTTAAACATCATATCTGATACTGATCATGGTTCACACATGATCTGGTGTGAATTATATGTGTAACTTATATATATACACTGTTGCCTACAAGGTTGGAATAAAATATTTTTTACCTTCTCATTTCTTCTCATGAAATGATTGTAATAATGTGATTTATTCTTGATAGATAAAGTGTATATCTTCTCAAAACTTTCTTCTACTATCTTTTACAAACACACCACAGTGAAAATTAAACCACAATTAACCTTTGCAAACTGTGTTTTCAGGCTTAAACAAAATTGGGGGTATTGAACAAAAGGGTTAAGGGGCTTTGTTTAAATTTGCCAACCTCGATCAATTTAAGAGGAAACACATATTTTTGGGTTTTTCATGCATAAGAATGTCCAATATTACTCTTTTAAATCTCACTCAGTCACTAATTTTAAGTGTGGCCACCCCTGACATGGATCAATGCGTTAAGACGTCGTGGCATACTGTCCACAAGCTTGTTGATGTCGTCAATGGGTCAGATCCCGGGGCTAATTCCTGTAGACTCTGAGGAATATTGTCCCTCTCATTAAGGGCTCAGCCTAAGACATCGCAGGCATGCTCAATAGGGTTCATATCGGGGAGCAAGCAGGCCATGGCATCTGCTGCACCTCCTCTGCATCACGAAATTCTGTCACTACAGCTGCCCTATGTGCTCTTGCGTTGTCGTCTTGCAGCCTAAAGTTGTTCCCATAGACCCTTCTTGCATGTGGGAGGCAATGGTTCTCCAGGATGTCCCGGTACATGACGGCGTTGAGGTTTCCATCCAGCACCACCAATGATGTTTTTCCTCCATAATAAATACTGGCCCATACCATAAGTGAGCCGCCACCTACTTGAGTGGCTTCCTGGATGCAGTCATCGCGGAGGTTCTCATCACGTAATCGCAGCACCCTTTGTCTTCCATCTATACGATGGAGGATATAGTGGCTCTCATTTATTCATGTAATGGTGATGTTTT